AGCTATAAATAATTACTACGCGTATAATAATAAGGTATATAATACTTAACGTATAGCTAGGCGTAACTATACTCTAAAGAGTAACGCTAATACTAGGCGCTACTAGTAGAGAAGTTATAGTACTCCCTATTAGAGCGCTCTATAAGCGCTAACCTTATATATCTCTAGTAAGAGTGCGCTTAAAGAGCGCTAGAGACACCCCGCTAAGAAGTACTATAAGCAGCGGAAGTAGAAGTAGCAGAGGTAGAAGCGAGCGTAGCGAGAGCGGGCGCGCGGCTAAAGAGAGGCGCGTAGGCGCGGAGAGGGGCGGCGCAAGAGGCTAAGAGCGAGAGAGTTTGTAGGCGCTAGCCGCCGCTAGCAGCGTGCGTAGTAGCGGCGTAGGCGTAGGTAGCGCGCTTCTACTTGTTTAGCTATATATAGTTAGCATACAATTCTTTAGAGCTTATAATAGAGACCTAGGTTAAGCGTAAAACTAGACGCTCTTAAAAATAATACGTACGCGAGCTATAGAGAGTTTATTAGTAGAGAGAAAAAGTAAGCTTAGAGAGAGCCTATTTACCTCTATAAGTAGTAAATAGAGGGGTTACGTAAGCGTTACGTAAACGCTAAGCTTGCTAAATCTATAGTTACCGTAAGCTCGCCTATAATCTACCTTTACCTTAAGCTTAGCCTACTTACTTAGCAGGCACGCTACTTTGTAGCGTACCTAGAGAGTATGTTATAGAGCCTAAGCTACGCACTATATAGAGATAACTTATCTTATACTCTAAGATTACTATATAGAGAGAGCTAAGCTCTCTAGTTCTAATATAGTAATCTTCTTTCTTATTTCTTTACTAAACTAAGTAACCTCTACTAAGCTCTCTCTTTTTCTTTATAATTATTAATATCTATATATAGTTAGAGAAGAAAACTCTAAAAAGAAATTCTTTTAAGTTCTATCTCTTATTACACTATATCTAGAAGAGCTAGCGCTATAGAAGTTTTCTAGAAATCTTTATTACGTTATAAATACTATATACTATAAGTTTTATAGATTATTATAGAGATATAATAGTACTTACTAGAAGTAAACTAGATTTTTTCTTAAAAGTTAGTTAAATACGTATAGCTTTTTAATTATATAATATATCTTAGTATAACTTTTCTATAAGGTATAATATACTATAAAGAATATATATATAAATCTTTATAGAAAAATATTAAGGTTTCGCTTAGTTATTTAAGAAAAACAGGTTAATTTTCGTTAATTTTCTTGCTAAGAAATTCGTGGGCGGTTTGCTTATGTAGGCGATTCGCTTATAAAGTACGTTATATAGCTAGAATTAATCTTCTTAAGCTTACTAGCTATAATAGTTCGACTTAGCTTCGACTTAGTGCTTTAGCTTAACTCGGCTTCGCCTAAGTTACATAACCCTGCCTAGCGTCTTAGCGCTTAGCACCCTGTATATATAGAGCCTCTTGGAGTATCCTTTTGCTTCTCACCTTTGGATAGCTAAATTTAACCTAACCTACCCTACTAGCACCCCTTATCCTTACAGCTCGTAGAGACAGTGCTGCCTGCAGCCAACCTACCTAGCTAGGTGTTCTAGAGGCGCCTACAGTAGTAGAGACCGCGGACCTAGCCCTTACATTATCCAAAGGTTAATATCCCTTCGGCCGGAGACGGCGGCACAATATCTAGCCAAACCGAGTAGCCTTATCAAGGAGCGTTTACTAACGGCTAACACCAAGGATTAGAGCTACGAGAGCCTGGTCGCTCACCCAAGGATTGAAGCTGCGAGAGCTCCAATCGCTCACCCCCTCAGCGCTGCATAAGACCACTAGCAGATCTAGTTGGCGGCAGAAAGAAACCCCAGCACCGAGCCGAAGAGAGCTATTAAGAGCTCTGTGTACGGGAGGACTTCTACGGAACTTCTACGTACGAAAACCCCCCCCCCCCCCCCCCCCCCCCCCCCCCCTTTTCAAAAACCAACAATCCTCTGCACCGCCTGCAGAGCCGACAACCCGCTGCTCCGCCAGCAGCCGAATACCCCCCTCCCCCTTCTTTCTCGATCGAAAAGCCGAACAATCCGAACACGATGGGAGAACCCTCGCGAAGTCGATCCAGAGGCAGGACCTCGGTCCCACAGTACCCCTTCACCCCGACGGTCCTCGAATCCCGGGCAGCGAACCTGCCAGCGGGATATGCCGATCGATATTACTATCGCGAAACTCCCGTTCGGCAACACGACGCGATAACCGATGAGAATCAGGACAACGACTTCGAGCAGAAGCTCGCACGGCTACGCCAGAGTTCGGTGATACCTAAGCTATCGTCGGCTGAGCGTTCTTATACACTCCCTGCCTCCACAAAGGAACTTCAAGAGCTTTTCCTAGAAAAGCCAGGCGAAATCGTCGACGAACTGGTCAGCCAATTGTATATACGACGGGTACTCGAACAACAAATCCACATGTATCGCCAGATCGCCGCCGACGCTCTCGCTGAGGGAGATACCATATACGCGGGATATCAGGATTTGCAGCAGGAAAAGGCAACTGCCCTAGCGGAAAAAGACGCCGAAATTCGACAGCTACGAGCGCGATCGACCCGCTCTAGGGACCAGGTGCCACCTGCTCCGTCAACTCAACGCGCGACGCGTTTCACGATAACGCCAAATACGCGCGATTCGAGCGCGTTGCCGCTAGAGGACTCGATCCTAGGTCCCCGCCCCTCTGCATACCCGCCAGCCACACCCCTAGCGTCGCGAGCGCCGGAGAGCCGACCAACACGTTCCGCCAAGTTCCCAGATCCACCCTTGTTATCTGACGGCCAGGGTGTTACCTTCGAGCAGTGGAAAGACGGCTTGCACGACAAGCTTCGAGCGAACCGGGATTGGTATATCAGGGATACGCCAGACGATACCGAGGAAACCGTTGTTGCCTACATACGTACGCGAACTGAAGGATCCGCGCACCAGACTCTATCAGCAATTCTGCGTACCCTAAGGAACAGTGGCACACCGATTTCCCGCGAATATATTCTCGATCGGCTGGAGAAGTGCTATGGAGTCCCCCATCACGGTTGAACGTTTGGATTGAGGCATATGAGAAAGAGGAGACCCTGCAGGAGACAGGGGAGGATTCGAAACCCGTACGGGTAGGAGACAAGAGAGCTGCGCGAAGGCGCCGCTAAGAGCGATTCGGTAACGAGGTCGATAGCTGGGATGATCTTGGAGGCGTAATGCAGAGGTCGAGGACGAGCCCTTCCTTGTGAGGGGGGGTGATGTGACGGTCCGACTCGGCGCTGCGGCCCAACTCGGCTCCGCCCAAGTCACATGACCCTGCCTAGCGCCTTGGCGTAGGCACCCTGTATATAGAGCCTCTCGAAGCATCCTTTTGCTCCTCACCTTTGGATAGCTGAATTTGACCCAACCTACCCTGCTAGCGTCTCTATCCTTACAGCTCGTGGAGACAGTGCTGCCTGCAGCCGACTTACCCAGCTAGGTGTTCCGGGACGCTCACAGCAGTGGAGACCGCGGAGCCAGCCCTCACAGGTACGGCCGTTCACGTGACGCTATACGTTTTCGGAAGCTGAATAAGCCATCAGCCAAGAAATTTTAGCGCCGCGATCTTACAAAACACCACGCCTCTTCCCAACTGATGCTGCTCCTCGACCGGCAAACAGACATCCTTCGTTCAGTCATGACTGAAGACTGGACTCTTGCTCGCGTTCCTTTCCTGAGACCTCCCTCACAGCTTCCTGCACCGCTCCCTAGCGAAAGAGACTTTCTGGAATCGCCCACTGTGTTCCGCGACGATGTGTCCCACCATCGCATCGTCGCTGTCGGCACACACTTTATCGTTAAGCATGGACGAGGTGTCGAAGAGATCGAGGGCCAAACTCTGCTTTTCCTCGAACGATATCCGAACGCATCGTTGACGGTGCCTCGTCTCTACGCAATGTGGCGCATACCATCTTCTGGGCATCTCTGTCTCGTGATGGAGCGCATTGCAGGCGAGGACCTAGAATCTGCTTGGCCTACGCTCACGAGTGTGGAGAAGTCCGTCATCTGCGCAAAATTGAAGACTGGCATCGATCATTTACGGACAATTCCATCACCAGGCTTTTTCGGTGGCGTTGGTCTCACCAAACTTCCTTACCACTTGTTTTGGGACGCGCAAGGAAACAAAGACGTCTGCAGCCCTTTTCAGAACAACTCGGAATTCAATGCAGCGCTTGTTAATAAGTTGAGAATGATATATACGGGGAATGTCGATCATGTCAGCGCCAAGGCCAAGTTTTATGAGAAACATTTGGGTACAATGTTTGGTATACATCCCCCAGTCTTCTCACACTCGGACCTTCAACGCAAAAACATACTCATCAAGAAAAGTGGCGACTCGATGGAGGTGGCCCTGGTTGACTGGGAAGCCGCAGGCTGGTATCCGACCTTCTGGGAGTATGCGATTAAGTTCTGCACACTAGAATGGACCGACGACTGGCCTCAATACCTCGAACAGATTCTGAAACCGTATCCCCGGGAGGCTGCGGCACTGCGAATGTTGTATCAAGATCTATGGTTTTGAAACGGTGGATTTTCTATTCGATGCTACGGTTACGACTGGCAGACAAATTCACGAAGAGCAAAACGAAAAAACCTAAATTTTTAGAAATAACAACAAACCCGCCCTGAGTTTCCACCACATGATCTGTCCACCTACAGTACCAACAGTGATTGAGTAGCGCCACCACCTCTTTCGATCAGTCCTGCCAAACATATTTCTGGGTAGTATAGTCGTAGTAATAGTATTTCTGTCGAGTCTCGTCCCAAGTCCAAGCACTGGTCTGCTGCTGGGCGCTCTGAGCTTGTGTTTGGGACGTGGCTGCCGCTGTAGCTTGGACGGTGGATTGGGTTTGTGGCACTCCGTTAGGATATAGAAGTCCTGATTGCTCCAGTGCTGGGATGGCTCTCTGCAAGGTCCACTCGGTGCATTTCATGTACGGGGGTACAGTTTCACCAGGTTCGTACCGGCTCCTATCCGGCTAAATCCCAGTAATCCTGGAAGCCTCCGACGAGACGGCAGCAAGTCCATGGGCGTAGTACGAGAAAAGAACTGATCTTGCCTGCCGCTGTGGTTCATCCTCCGGTGCTTTCGTATGCCCGTATCCTACCAGCGGTCCTTCTCAACGAGTATCTCCCGACCACGACTGACGCCGGGGTGTTCCCAACGCGCAAATATGTATCCAGGCTGCCAGCAGTAGACACTACGGACTTGCGTGTCGTCGAGAGAGAGAGTGGAATAGCGGGAGTCTTGCGTGTTCGGAGTGTTCGATTAGAGGGGGTGCGCGTCGCTGCGGGTTTTGGAGCTATTGCAGTCGCTCGCGACTCCTTCAATAGGCGCGAGGAGGTCGCAAATTTGCGCCCCATCTGAGTCTTCGCGAGCTTCGTGGCTATAGTAGCCGTTGTTGCTGCTGGGACGGGTTGTGCTGCTGCCGTCGACTCTGGTTCGGCGGGTCTCCGGCGCTTAGACGGGCGAGGAGTGGCATTCGGCTCGCTTGACGAAGCTGCGCGCCTGCGTTTCTTGCTTGTGAATGTCGCTGACGCGAGACTTGGAGCCGGCGGCGGTGAAGGCGATGGGGATGGCGACGGGGTGCGGTATGCGCCTTGGAAAAGCAGGTGCGCTTCGAAATACGGCGCCAGTCGGCTCTTCGGCTTCGGGTGCTGCTGCAGCGCATTATCGAGCTGTGCGAGGAAGTCTACCGGGTGCCCTTCGATAGGGTGCATGTTCTGCGCAAATGCATTTGATGACGGTGGGGCTGGGAGGTATTGACAGGTGGTGAGGTTTGAGGGCTGCATAAGCCCGCGCTTGGCGGGCGCTCTCCCGCCGACCTGTCGCTCCGTTGTCAACTTCATGCATGTCGCTTTGTACGGACAGCTCTCCTCTAATTACGAAGCTGCAAGCTGTCTTTTGTCATAACTTGTACCTTCAGGATGTTTTCCTTTAACGCGAACCCCAAGGAATATCGCGGAAGTACCACAGAGCCCAATACGCCCGAATCCGACGCAGCAGCTCCATCCTCAAGCACATCCCAACGCGACCTTTTCGCGAGATTGATTCCAATCAATGCTTTAGCTCGCGCGGCTCTTGAGAGGGCGCGTGACAAGGGCGACGAGCACCACTGACAATTTATCGGTGAAACTGATTTCGATGGCTAGCCAACGCTATGCTTCGAGATAGCCCTCCTACCACTACCAAAATTCGGTCAGGTTGGTTGGCGCATCGGCAAAGGTTGAAACTACCACCAGATCTCTAGAAGTAAGGTCTCTGCGGCTGACCAAAATACACGCATGCATCGAGGCGTAGATCTACTCTTATTAATTCCAAAAGGAGAAGAGCCTATCTACAAAGTCGCAGGCATCTATGCGCGCTTCAACTAGGTGAAAGGCGCGGCCGGCTTCTTCTTAATCGCACAAGGAAAGAAGTGCATTATAAACGGCGTTATCTTCTCTAACAACCGAAGAACAATTCCCCTAAACAATATGATTTAGCTCGGCGAGTGTGTCTTCAGCCTAAAATATGTTGTTCGCGACCTACTAGAGGAAGAGCTATTCTATATCGAATTAAACAAGTTCATAACCACTATTCTAGGCGATTAGAATCTATTCATCCTCCTAACTCTAAAGGACACAGATGCACGCTTTGGTGACTAGACTGTGCAGCATGCCATGGCACGCGGAGCCTTTAGGACAGTGTATATGGTGACGAACGCGAGTGGAGAAGTCGCAGCCGCAAAGCAACTGTTAAAATCGAAACACAACGCATTCGACATTAACCGCGAGATCTAAATGGCTCGTTGGGTTTCCAAGCTTCGTTATGTAAGACTATTGTCGTCTCTGTATACTCCGTACTTACTTCTTTTAGAGGAGCCTTGCTATCCTATTTAATATCCGTCACAACATATGTCGCAACGAAATTAAGCTGGTAAGTGCGAATACCTATCCACCAGAAACGATTCGTCCTTATAAACTTTAAAGAGCCGTATTAGATCCCTACTCGATAAGACATAGGATCCTAAAATGCACGGTAACATAACCGACGAATACATAATCTTTATGCCCTACCTTAACGCCACCTTTAGATCTCTTATTTAGTCTAAGGTCATCGAGTTAAAACGCGAAATCTTCTTCGCTAAGCTAGTGGAAGCTGTCGCGTTTCTACACTTGGAAGGTCTCTGTTATCAGGATATTAAGCTAGAAAATATCTTAATTAGAGGATACGATCCGCCAGAGGCGCTTCTTTCTAACTTTGGCTCTGCATTAGACGAGAAAACCGTCTTCTATAATGACGGTGGGACGATTCCGTATCTCGCACCAGAGCAGCAGAAGGGTTCTAGGCACGACTAGGCTGTCGACTGTTGGGCCTGCGGTCTAGTTAGCTAGGCACTTCTTACAAGAGATTATCTAAAGACTCGAGTTTTTCTGGGGTCTCAGCTTAATAAGTATTATTCCGAATTAGATTAAAGATGTCGACACGGTTCTGCAACGGCCATGGCAATGTGTAGCAAGGAAATGCTGCACCTAGACCCACGGTCTCGCCTGTTATCTGCGTCCGCTGTCGCCCTGCTCTGTAGGTTTCGCATCCTTAACTCGGACGACTAGAATAAACTAACGCCCTTAGACCTACGCTCAAAGAAGACAAAGCTGGATCCTTGACTGTTAGTATTCTTATTAATACAGCATATGGAAATATATCTCTCTTTTACGTAAATGTCCTCTGTGTGGTTCCGAGATAGAAGAGACTAAAGCAACTAGCTAAGTTAGATCGCGAGGCGGCTGCGAGGCTAGGTTGGCATGCTTGCCAAGACTTCGCATAGCTATAGACCTAATAGCTAGTATAACGTACTCTACTATTAAAAGCTCTATACTATTAAATACTTAAAAAATACTAAGTCTCTACTAAAAAGCTACTAACGTACTTTATTAGCGAATACTCTATATTACTAAACGCTCTATAATTCCTTAGTAATAAAAATTAATAAAAATTAATAAGCTTTTCTTAAATAACTAAGTAAAACCTTAATATTTTTCTATAAAAATTTATATATATATTCTCTATAGTATATTATACCTTATACTAAAGTTATACTAAAATATATTATATAATTAAAAAGCTATAACGTACTTTATAAGTAAATACTTTATATAAGTAAATATCTTATAAATTTCTTAGTAAGAAAATTAACGAAAATTAAGTCGTTTTTCTTAAATAACTAAGTAAAACCTTAATATCTTTTTATAAAAATTTATATATATATTTTCTATAGTATATTATACCTTATAGTAAAATTATACTACGATATATTACGTAATTAAAAAGCTATACGTATTTAACTAAATTTTAAAAAAAAATCTAGTTTTCTTCTAGTAAGTACTATTATATCTTTATAATAATTTATAAAACCTATAGATATAGTATTTATAATATAATAAAGGTTTCTAGAAAACTTTTATAGAGCTAGCTCTTCTAGGTATAGCGTAATAAGAGATAGAAGTTAGAAAAAACTCTTTCTAGAGTTTTCTTCTCTAGCTATAGATATATATAAATAATCTAGCTATATAAAGTTATATATTATAAAGTTTCTATATATTTAGAAGTAATAATTTTAAGATAGTTTTAGTATTATTCTATCTTTCTATACTATAGTACTAAAATTACTTTACTTATAAATAACTACTTAAAGCTAGTATATTATTAGTTAATAAGCTCTATATAGTTAAGACCTACTATAATATATAAAATAGTAACTTTATATAGCTAGATTAACTATATATATATATGTAGTTAGAAGAAAAAACTCTAAAGAAAAGATTTTTCTAACTTCTATCTCTTATTACGCTATACCTAGAAGAGCTAGCTCTATAAAAGTTTTCTAGAAACCTTTATTATATTATAAATACTATATACTATAGGTTTTATAAATTATTATAGAGATATAATAGTACTTACTAGAAGAAAACTAGATTTTTTCTTAAAAGTTAGTTAAATACGTATAGCTTTTTAATTACGTAATATA